CTGCCTTTCATTTGTTTTTAATGTTATTAATGGAGGTATTGAGTGTCCCTATTTATTAGGGAAAATTAACTTCAATGCTCCCCAACGTTGTCTCAGATCTATTTCCCCATTTTATTATACAAAGGAAAGTACTAACTTTGCGGAATAGGCTCCTCTCAAGCGTGCTATGCGAGAGTTTAACTCGATTTCCGAAAAAGTTCTTCTTGATTTTTCTCACTCTAGTACCCTAGAGTCCTTCATTAATACCCTAAATTCTGTTTTTTAGTTTAATGTATCTACTTATGTACTTTTAATTGAATTATTTTAGAAACCTCTTTAGTATCCTAACTTTCCATTAGTCTGTAAGAATTAATGTTCATAGACTTAACTAAATAAATAAATAAATAGGGAAAAAATTGAGTTTCTTTTATCTATGTATTGATGATATTAGTTTTTCTTTTGAAATACATAATTATATATATTTATTTTCATTTCGTCTTGAGAATTGTATCCAAATTCCAAAATTTACAACAGTCAAACAAAATTTTCAGTCTTTCTGGTAATTGTTGACCCAAAAATTTCTTATAATGGCGCCCGGTTAATGAAGTTCTGGTTTTCATCTATTTTGTGGCACATTTCTTTTGGTTGTTTGGGATTTCAGTAAACTCACAGTATTATATCGATACAGAACGGTACAGAGTTATTTGGAAAATAATATATAAGGAAGTTTTAGCAGACATTTGAATAACAGCTTTAATATCAACTCTGCCATTGTCTTAAAAATTCTCCATATAAAAATATTATGCGGAAGTTTACTTTTTGCTATGCACCAATGCACATATTCCCTTTAAGAAATACCTTTACCAAGTAACTATCTAACTCTATTATAACCTTCCTACATCTTCCCACATTCATGACTTAAACTACACGAATTTTTCGTTTTGCATCCATTTCCAGGTATCGGAACGGTGATTCAGTCAATGTCAACGACACAGAACGCTACGAGGGTGGCAACTCCGAGAACGTTGCACTAGTTATACGTTCTACTGACAAGGATGATGTCGGCAACTACACCTGTCAACTATCAAATGCCATCGGCAAGGGCATCTCCGAGCAGCAAATCGACCTGGATGTACAGTGTAAGTGTCGAAGTGTCATACTGCACAGATACATATATACAGCAAACAATGTTTATTACTCTGTGACAGCATTCACGTCCCAAATATATCGACATTCCGCTCTCCCTTCTCCTCTCCCTGAAGTATACGAGTACTTTTACTTAATTTTGTTGTTATTATTATCTATAAGTATTTTACTGTTATTGTTATTATTGCATAAGTGCCATTGTCATTGTCGTTTACCCATGTTGTAACTACCGTTCAAGTAAACGTTGCTAATATCCTCTACCGACGTCTTCTCCTCTCTTTCGCAGCTGTATCCCTCGCATATTATATGAATCTCTTTGTATGTACCTATAGACACCACTAATGTGCTTGCGTTCGTATTCATTTCAGTTGTGCCAATTGTAGAAGTGCTGATGATACCCGAGGGTCCCGTTAAGGAGAGTGACGAATCGAATGTGACACTCTACTGCAACATCTTAGAAGCTAATCCGGCATTGCTGACAAAAGTGCGTTGGTATGCCAACTCGACGTTGCTCAAAGAGCTGCCCGATTGTGAGGAGACAAAAGTAAGTAAAAGACACTTGTGTATGTAAGGTGTGAAAGTGCTACAGGTTGATAATTGTTCACTTCGAAGTATGCCACTTTAATATTTAATATTTATTGATTTTTTGATTCAACCCGAATTTTCAGGAGGACTTATGCCATATCGATCCAAGCAAATTGCTGTTGGAGAGCATTGGACGCGGCTTCTTCTACAATTACTCTTGTGAGGGCTACAATGCCGCCGGTTGGGGACCACGTAGCGAAGATAAAGAGTTAATGGTGAGTGGAGCTAAACGCAATATTTAGTATTTCATTCATCTTTTGGACTAGACTGACGTTTATCTTTATAAATTTTCCACATAAAATTTTAGCTATTCGCTTATTAAAACTCTCTTATTTTATATTACAAACACAGGTACATTATGAGCCCGGTCCAGCCACGCTCACACACTTTCCATTGATTGCTGTGAAGAAGAAGAGTGTGATATTTTCTTGCTCTGTCGACGACCCTGGATATCCAGAATCGAATAGGTCTGTAAAGCAGCATGACAAAGTCACCACATTTGCATCCTCATACAATTCCATTTATCCCATAACCAAATTATCAACTACATCAACAATCAAATCACAAACATCACTTGTCTCCACCACACCCCATACGGGTGATCAATTCCATATACATTTCCATACCGTTCAAGTGTTAAACCCCTCTGAGGCTGAGGCAGCTTATGAGGCGTTGCTACAACAAAATTATTCATTGCTTGACAAACACCAACAACAACATAGCAATCAAAAAATTCAAAAAGAAACGCATACACTAATTGGCATGAACAGTCATACACCCCTATGTACATTGCTCACACTCACCACATTCTCACCAAAATCACAAATTCTAACACTCTACAATGTGGCGAAACCGTATGCGGTGGACAACACTTCATCACAATTATCATCAACATCAACCTCATACGATTCATCTGCAATATTTACCGACATCAATTCTTCACTACAACAACAACAACTTTCGTTATATCGCAAAATGGGCTCATTTACTTATCGTGCCCAAATGTTAATGCATCCACATAGATTCCGTTGGCAGCGTGGTGGACTTGGACCCTTGCAGGATGTCGTCACCAAAGATTGGACTGTGGAGCCGGTGGGTTTGGACAGCCGCACCAACTACTCCTGCTACGCATACAATGAGGGCGGTAAGGGCGCCATGGCTAGCGTTAATCTAGAAGTGCATGCACCTCCATTCTTCATCAAGAATCTGGTGCCATACACGGGCATGTTGCACACATCACGCACAGCAAATCTAACATGTCGTATCGAATGTGTGCCTCGCTGTGAAATCACCTGGTTGAAGGGCACCGATCCCATTGAAAAGAACGATACGCGGTACTTCATCAAGGAGAAGTACGTGGACGCGTCACCGGCGACGGGTGACTTTGAGAGCATGCTCTCAGTGCTGGTGAGTACGGAAATCATTTTTTAAGAAGTTATTTGGAGATCGATATTATATGATAAAAAACAAAATTAAACAATTGTACCATATCTAAGATTGCCAACTTAAGAAATTTTTGCTTTAGCTTGAACTTGCGAGAATTGAAGTTTGATAGCCTGCTAGAAAAATAATCTTAGACGGATTCTCCACGTTAAAACTAAATTTTATGAAGAATTCCAAATTTAAATATAAAATTGAGTTTCGAAACTTGAGAATTGAAAAAAATTCGACCAAGTAATAACCGCTGGCTATTACAAGCAGTGAAATTGAGTTTTTGTCCTTTCTTGTCTCTCATATTTTGCGTCTCATAACAGTCCGTCGGTGCATTTTTTTAACACAAACTAGATGAGGGCTTGAAATAAAATATTTTTCTAAAGTGTTCTATACTTTATTTAAGCTATAAAAAATTATTCCCTTTTTCTCCCACTGTGTTCGTACATAGCACTTCAATATGTCAAATTGGCCCAATCAAAAGTTCGACATCGAATCGGATAGCGCGAACTACACTTGCGTATCTACAGGAAACACCGTTGGACCTGGCATCAAAAGCGCTACTTACTTTTCTATTGAATGTGAGTTCTAAGAACAATTATGAGCAAATATCTAAGGTTTGACAAGTGATACAATCTCTCAAACCTTTGAACAGCAAAATATAAACATTAAATATTTGTAGGATTGTATAATATTTTTGAATAATATCCTTACATATTCTTAGCTTATTTCATTTGCTTCATTTTGTAATCCTCTGCTTATACTTTCTCACTAACAGATGCGCCGGAGAACTCAACCGTTTCGGAGGAAAAGGTTTACGTGCAGGAGGGCACTATACCCGGACGTGTAATTTGCAATGCCAAAGCTAACCCGAGTAAGTATCCATTGCAGATTACGAATATATCTATTTTACATCTGACAGTTATGCAAATAAAACGCACAAACACACGTCATGTCAGCTCGATTGTTATTGTGTTACAGTGTATTGACGGTTGAAGTGAATGTCAAGTTGAAAATGTCAGCAATTTCTGTCAGCGTTGACATAAATGACAAGAGTGACATGGCAACACACAGTAGCCTCAACTTCTGCCTCAGTCTTAGCTGCCCAACTCGCACACACTTAGCCAGTGGATTGTGAGACGCGTCGGCGGAGCGTGTTGACTGGCGTGCGGTCTCAAGTGGCGCAACGGTACCATTATATTATGCGCTTATGTCAGCAGCGCGTCAAGGCGTTTGCGAAAAATCGAGGTTGAGTCATGTAGAAATTGACACTTTTGAAGGGTCCCCATGCGTGCTACTGGAAGTATTAAGCACCCGTCAACATATTTTTGTAAACACTTGCAACAAATTGTAAATCAACAGGATTTAAATATGTCGCAACATGCGAAACACATACACTTGCACGTCAAGGAAAGTTGTCTTGTTGAGATTTATACAAAATCAATGTTGGCAGCCGGATTATTTAGGGAAATATAACTAATTTTTGAAGCTCTGTGTAGATGATACTAAGGAAGTACACATTATTCAACTTGCTGAAGTTTACGCTTAATATTTCATGTAACTTTTCCCAAGCTACGGTCTACAAGAAGTTATAAAAAATTCAGAATTTCAACGATCTTTCAGTGTGAATTGGGTCAAAACTGTGTTCAAAAAAGCGTCCTCTAAGCTTCCGTCATCTTGCATCACTTACTTTATAGTTTGTAATATTTAATCTTTAGCTCCAAAGTCTCTGTGGTATCACTCGCTTCTGATTACATAATGCTTGTTTGCTAAAGTTGACCCAGTTGATGAAAAATAAGAGTGATACAGATACTGTTAACTATCTATTAATCAACGGAAGCGCTGAAGCTAAAAATAAATCAGCCTCTTCGATGTTGGCAGTGCGAATTGATGGTTATTTTACTTATATCATATATATATATATGTGGGAACAGGTGAAGATGATGCGTTTCCTTGACGTCCAATAGCAGAAGAATTTATTTCTTATTCGTTATAGCTTAAGAACTAGTGAGAATATAATAATAAAATATATTGGTTTGCTATCGATAAAGAATTCTGTAGGTAGTCACAGGTTCTTGCCATAAACTAGATCGGCTGGTGCTGCATCCAAATAGTTTTTATATGTGGATCGTAAGCCCAATAAAATAAGTGGTAAATATGAAGTCCACTGACTAGTGTTATGGCATAGAAGTGCTGCTTTTAAAGTACGATGCCATCTTTCGACGAGACCATTTTCTTAGGGATGGTAAGGCGTGGTTCGCAAATGACGTGTACCCAATAGCTGTAGTAATTGTTGAAACAGGGCGCTTTCGAATTGACGTCCTAAGTCTGATGTGATGGTTAAAGGTACACCAAGCCGTGAAATCCAGCCATTTAGTACTGCTTTGGCGACAGTTGGAGCTGTTATATCTGGTATAGGTAGCGCTTCTGGGCAGCGTGTGAATCTATCCAGGATAGTAAGACAATAGCGGTTTCCTTCGGATGGTGGAAATGGCCGACTAGGTCGATATGTATGTGCGCGAAACGAAGTGAAATTTTTGACGCTGAAACAAACTTYGGTTGTGTCGTGTAGTTTTATTCCGCTGACACTGCAAACAGCAGCAAGCAAACTTTCTGCTATCTCGCTGGACACCAGGCCCAACAAATCGCTCAGTTACCAATCGTGTAGTCCCTTTAATACCTGGGTGTGAAAGATTGTGAGTTGACCGTAAAAACGTTTCTCTAAAGTTCTTTGTTATGAACGGTCGGACACGGCCAGTTGAAGTGTCGCAGCATAAGCTTCTGGAACTAAAAGGAAGAGCGAAATTTTGTAGGTTAAGAGAGTGTTTTATRTTACCATTTAAAAGATTTCGAAGCTCTTCGTCATTGGACTAGTCCTCAGCCAAGTTATCATAGTTTAAAGTTTCTGCGGAAACTGAGTTTATTCGTGACAGCAGGTCTGCTGTTACATTATCTTCGCCGCTTACATGGCGAATGTTGGTGGTGATCTGCGCTGTGAAGTCGAGTTGACGTATTTGCCGACTAGAAGCTCGATCTAAACGTGTAAATATGACAATGGCGTCCTTCGACCATGTATTGAAAATGTCGTAATGCTAGGTATGCGGCAGTTAGCTCCCTGTCGTAAGTGCTGTATCTTTTCTCAGCACTAGTAAATTTGCGAGAGAAAAATCCTAATGGTTCTAGACTACCATCCACGAATTGATTTAATACTGCGCCAGCCGCGAAATCTGATGCATCTATCCATAAAGACAGTTCCGCGTTGTGCGATGGGTGAGCGAGTAATGCACAATTGACCAGCTGTTCCCTACATGCAACAAAACTGTCTGCTGCTTCCACTGACCACGTAAGTGGTGTAGTATCGTTTCGCTTGTTACCACGAACCATATCAAAAAGACAGGCTTGTGTCTTTAGTGCGTGTGGTATGAAACGACGGAAAAATTAAGCATCGCTAAAAAACCCTTGAAATCCTTGATGATAAGTGGTCGTTTAAAATTACGTAGAGCCTCAACGCGTTCTGGGAGTGGCCGAATACCATCTTTAGTGATAGAATGCCCGAGGAATCGTAGTTCCAAGACATCAAATTCCGATTTACTAACGTTGATAGTTAGGTTGTTCTACCGGAGTCGTTGAAAAACTTGGCGCAAGTGGTTTTGATATTTTTTTTCTGATCAGGATGCAATACATACATCATCAAGATAAACAAATACGAAGTTTAAACCACGAAAAACTTCGTTAATAAGTCTGTGGAATGTCTGTGCTGCATTCCTCAAACCAAACGTCATATGCGTAAATTCGTAGAGTCCGAAAGGAGTTTTTATCGCCATTTTACAGATGTCTTCTTTGTTTATTGGCACTTGGTGAAAAGTCTTTTTTAAATCGATTTTAGAAAACACTCGTTTTCCGGCCAAGATATTAGCGAAATCGGTCAAAAATGGCAACGGATATCAATCAGGAACTGTTACTGCATTTAGTCCACGATAATCCCCGCATGGTCTCCACGTTGCATCAGGATTACGTACCATATATAGTGGGCTTGCCCAGTTACTACTGGAAGGGCGACAAATGCTCAGTTTCATCAGCAAATCAAATTCAGCTTTAGCGGCGGTTAGTTTATCGGGTGAAAGACGGCGTGAACGTGCGAAGACGGGTTGACCGGTGGTAATATTTCGAGGTTCTACGGACGATTTTGTTGGTGAATTTAGCGAACGAGAGCGTGTGATATCGCTGTCCTCTGCGAGAATATTCGAATAAATAGAATTCGCGTTAAAAGATTTTATGTTGAATATGCATGTTTTTTCACTTTCGCAAACCGTTTTTAATTCGGTTTTGCTATCGAGTAAACATCTATTTTTGAGATCAACCAAAAGCTCGAAATGAGACAGAAAGTCAGCGCCTATAATTGCTTGAGAAACATCAACGATAACGAAATGCCAAAAAAATCGCGTCGTAAATTCAGATTAAGTTTCAGAATCGCCTCACCGAATACAGAGATCGGCGATCCATTTGCGGCTAACAATTTTATACCGTTAGGAGAAGCTATGTCCGCACCGGTATCTATTAAAAAATTTAATTTTGCTGACGTATCGTRTATGCGTAAACGGTATGTCTTGAAGGTTTTAGATTGTTTGCCTAACTCTAAAACCGTAGCAGCCCAGCGGCCCTATAAAGTTTTTTTTAATAAAACAAAATTGCACGGCTCTCGGCATTTCGTTGCTTTCGCACCGAATTTGCTATGGTACCAGCAAATCGGTTTGTCCGATTTACTTAAATACGTATGAGGTCCACGTGTCATAGATCGAGACCGCGAACGAAAATTTTATCCTTTATTATTGAAAAGCTTATGCACCTGCCTAGTCAATTCTGCTATTTCAAGTTTCAAGCTCGAAACTTCATTAAGTGCCAGACCCTCTTGCGCGTGGTTGTGTCGCATACCAATAGTTTCGATAATGGAGTCAGCGATCTTTAATTTTTCCACGATAGCGACGTTTGTAGCAATAATCGCTGCTTGTACATACGGAGGAAGTCTGCTTATCCATAGATCGTGTAAAATGCTGTCATTCAGAGTCGTCCCGGCTGCACGTTTCATGTCGTTAAATAGCTGGGGCGTCGGTCGCCTAGAACCATGTCTTTAAGAACACGTTGCAGCCGCCGCAGTTGACTTTCCGAAAAATGCTCAGTGATCTTGTCCTGAATGTATTTATATTTAAAATTTGTCGGCACAGCGTCTATGATGCAGCGAAGCTCTATCAGCTTGTTAGGCGGTACACATGCAAGAACGATGTCGAATTTCCTATTATCATTGGAAATTGAAGAAGCGCTAAACCAAAAGTCCAGAGAATAAAAATAAGCTTTGATGTTGTCCTCGGTCATTGTTGGTAGTAGACGTGGAGTTGAATTTGGAAAATCCACAATATTGACGTCAGAGTACCGGTTGCCAGAAACCACATGGCTATCGTTTAACGCCACTCCTATGAAATTATTATGTTCAATTTACCTTCGGGGTCACCAGATGTGGGAACAGGTGAAGATGATGCGTTATACTTGACGTCCAATAGCAGAAGAATTTATTTCTTATTCGTTATAACTTAAGTAGTAAAGTAAGTAGTAAGAATATAATAATAAAAGGAATGAAGGATTAAAAACATATGATAGCATTGCCTTTAGGAGTTAGGGAGAGATGTATTTTAGGAGTGTTGCGCCGAAGATTAAATTAACGCCTTAATAATCATTCGAGGTTGCCACATATGTATATGACATATGTACTACACGAAGTAGCTGCAAAAACTCTCCCAAAAAGAAACTGACTCATTAATATTTGTAATACGTTTGAACTGAAATGGCCAATTGTTAGAACTTAAATTGATACTTAGAATCAAGCATTATGCAACCATGTATTCGATAGCGCAGATTGCGGAACATAATAAGGACAGGTCCAACTTTGAGACGCAAATGATGCGGTGGCATACCAAGTCTCTTCAAAGAATTTAGAAACTCCACTGGATGATTCACGGCGTCGTCTTAATTGTGATAATGATCGCTCGATTTGTATGAGCGCAAGTCTCCCAGAATTTGACTTTGAATTCCAGTTTAAGTCAACAAAATCAGTATTTTTGGCAGCTAACATTGCGCGTGAACTTAAGGAATCGAAGTTACGATAATTTGGCCAATGTCCGAACATTCATGATGAGTTTATTATCGTGAATTGAGAAAGGGAAGATGGAATTGATGTCAAACCACCGGAAGTATCAACCGGAATTGGCCCATTTCCAATTTTTAGCGAAGACGACGTAAAATATTGAAAAATAAAAAAAAAACACAAATTGATAAAAAAAATTTTGTATGGGAAAAAGTAAATTTTTGGAACTATTCAATTTTCCGAGTTTTCCTCAAGAAAACTATAAGTTATTTTTTTTTTCTAAACCTTCCCCGATCCACAACGAATTACCTTTGAAAATTTCATCAAGGTTTGTTCAGTCGTTCCCTTAGCGTCTAACAAACAAACATTCATTCGTTTCTTTCAGGCAATTATTCGAATTTTTCTTGCCGTAAAAACCATCGTTGAACCTCAACGAACATTAAAAAAAAGAATTGGCAAAATTGGTACTGGCGTTGTTGAGTTATGCGCTTAGCAACACATTTTGCGATTCATTTTTATACTCTCGCAACAAAGTTGCTAAAGAGAGTATTATAGTTTTGTTCACATAACTGTTGTTTGTAAGTCCTAAAACTAAAAGAGTCAGATATAGGGTTATATATACCAAAGTGATCAGGGTGACGAGTAGAGTTGAAATCCGGATGTCTGTCTGTCCATCCGTCCGTCCGTCCGTCCGTCCGTCTGTCCGTCCGCCCGTGCAAGCTGTAACTTGAGTAAAAATTGAGATATCATGATGAAACTTGGTACACGTATTTCTTGGCTCCATAAGAAGGTTAAGGTCGAAGATGGGGAAAATCAGCCCACTGCCACGCCCAAAMAATGGCGGAAACCGAAAACCTATAAAATGTCATAACTAAGCTATAAATAAAGATATTTTTGGAAAAGTGGGCGTGGTCCCGCCTTTTTTTGTACATATCTCGAAAACTACTATAGCTATGTCAACCAAACTGCGTCGTTTCTTTTAGGCATTTCCATATACAGTTCAAAAATGGAAGAAATCGGATAATAACTACGCCCACCTCCCATAAAAAGGTTATGTTGAAAATCAGTAAAAGTGCGTTAACCGACTGACAAAAAACGTCAGAAACAATAAATTTTACGGAAGAAATGAAAGAAGGAAGTTGCATCCAGACTTTTTTTAAAAATTGAAAATGGGCGTGGCGTCGCCCACTTATGGATCAAAAACCATGTCTCAGGAAGTACTCTACCGATTTCAATGAAATTCGGTATATAATATTTTCTTAACACCCTGGTGACATGTACCAAATATGGGTGAAATCGGTTCACAACCAACCTGAAATCTCGATTATCATTTGCGATTATCATGCGAGAGTATAAAATGTTCAGTGACACTCGAAGTTAGCCCTTCCTTACTTGTTATATATAAGATATATATGTACATGTGCATATGTATTGAGAGATAGAAAAATATACTGACTGAAAGATAGAGCAAATTTGCTTTTACACGTCAGGAAAAAATTCCAAATAATCACTGCCAATTTTGTTCGTAAATAAGCCTCGGAATTATTGGGTTTTATTTATTTTCTCTTCGAACCTAAAGATAAATTGTTTCAACTTATGCATTTTAAATGTAATTTGATATTCCTTAAATTAGTCCCAAATTAATAAATTTGAAGTCGAAAAGGGAACACTTCTCTTATACTTAACACCCTCAAACAGACTAATAAACCGTATACAGAAATGCAAAGTAACATTTGTGCCGAATTCTATGAGAGAACAAGCAATCAGCTTAGCTTATCTAGTCTATAATTTCCACTCCAACCACTCCAACGGTAGGTTTGGTGTACCCATGACAATAAGCGATTTGCTAGCTGAAAAATACAAATATTTTTTAGTCAATTGAATGGGAGGTAAACTGCTGGATATCCACTTATACATTATTTTACTATCCACCCATTTGCAGAGAACAAAATCAATTCAAATACACATACTATATAATTCAATTTGTATTCTCAATTGCAGGCGCTCACTACAGTTGGTACTTCAACAATACGAAACTGGGGCAGGATCAGGCTTTAATCATCAACACGCCAATGACACGCAATGACTCCGGCGTCTACACATGTGTTGCCTCGAATAAGCACGGCAAGAGCACAGTCGAAACAATCATCGATGTACAATGTAAGTTGAAACACTTCTCTTCGAACACTTTTCGAATTTTTGTTCTTTAACTTTGTCGCTAAAATAAGAATTATAGGTATTACAATTTGTAATAAAGAAAAGGGACAGTTTTGAAATTACAACCGTTATGAAATTGTCACATGCCATTTCTAAGCGACCTTTCTCCCTAGAATTACAATTACAAACAAAAAGCGTAGCGCTTCAAAGTATTTTAAATTACATTCTGTAAAGAGGGGAAGCTGCCAACACAGCGGGATTTGTATTACAAGAGCACAGACACATATGCATTTCACTTATTTGGTACGTATAACTGCATGTCTGCTATGTTTGAAAGTGTCCATTCACGCGCTTTGTTTGGCGGCTTGTCAGGCGTGTACAGAGCTATTGAGGCAAGTGTTTGAAATTGACCGAATAATTTTACGAATTTTTATGATTATTTCCATTTTGATACTTTCCTTTTCAGCGCCGGGCATTTTATTGGAACCTTTTTCGACAATTGTTGTCATGTCACAGCCACAAAATTGTTATGTCTTTTGTAATGTCATACATTCAAATAAACATACAAAGGAGTGTGTGAGGCCCTTGTTGATTGCCCGTCGCCTTTTCTAATATTTCTATTATTTGCGTTCACTCACAATGGTTTGAGCCATTCGTATTATGTACAATTATTTAGCAAAAAATATGCGGTAAATGGTTCGAAGCAAAAAATTCTGCATTTCAACCACACTCGCTCAGACACCTCCGCCCATTTCCATCCACAAATTGTGCATACGTGTGGCTAAGCTCGTTGCGGTGTGCGGTACGGGCGGGTGCTTTGGTTTTTGCAGCTGGTCACGTTTTGATAAGCCTATTTAATATTTATTATTGAAAACTTTCAACGCCATTCACATACCGTGAATACTATTTATGCTGAGTTCGGCTGTTTTGTTGCATTAAATGACCGCTATTCAATTGAAATTGACCGGAAGTGTCGCCAACAGCGTCGCCTTGATCCTTTTGACCTTTCGGGAGCAACCATGCGCTTGAATTAAATTTTCGACACAATTTCAATAATATGACCAAGATATGGTATTGCATATGTGTTAGTCTGCCACAGTATTGGAATTCGTGGTTACAGAAAATATTACGTTTTATTACAAAATAGCTTTGCAAAATTACAAGCAATAAAAAATATAATAAATGAATTGGCCATGTAACCGTTTGCATCTTTGAAATGAATTTTATAAAGTTTGCGACTTAATAATTCGCATAAAGTGTGATTAGGATTCAAAGTTCTATAAAATTTATATTAACTTCTTCACTCAAGAAATAACTGAACTGTTTTACGAAGGTTATAAGTTTCAGTTATCAAGACTTAACACTATGGAGTCGACTGCCAAATATCTGCTTGAAGGTTGTATAGCCAGCTCTGGGGAAGATTAGAAATTTATATATTAATCTGATCAAATGATCTTGAGGTTCAAATAAATTAAACGTACCTAAATATATGAAGACAATATGTCGTGTTAGGGAACGGAACCAAATTCACAGACGACTTAAAGTGTTTCGCAAAAAGCACTTATAATAAAAACGATGGATGATCCGACAAGCATTTGAGAGTAGATAATCGAACAACTTATACCAGCAGTTCGAATAGACTGCCATCACTTAGGGTGCAATATGGCGTTCTATTTCAGATTGTATGGGGGCAACTCGATAAAACTTCAATTGCTTTTATGTGTAAATTTTTTGAGAAGATCACGAGTAAAACCTGGCGATTCGATGATGGTTACTATATATTATTCTAGCAATGATAGGTACAATTACAGCACACATGTGAATATTTGTTCCTACTGATCGGTTTTTGTGAACATATAAAGGAGGAAGTAGCCCTTTCGGCTTAGTTTGTACGTAAACGAAAATTTTTTACATATGCAAGCATAGAATCCGATTTGCAAATTTAACTATGAAAATGTTTTATATCTTAATTATGGCTTTGTTAGAATTTCAATAAATGCCATTTTTTGTACGGGAAGTTATTCAATTACGCCAATCTACAAACTCGAGGAAAACTTTCAACATGGCCTTGATTTTTGACCTGATTTCCCATGGTTTCCCACCTTTCAGCCGATTAATTATCTTTTTTTGAGTCATAAGCATAGATCCAGAGCTCATAGCCAGTAATAATAGTTTTTATGAAATTCTAGTAGTCGGAAAGCATTGTTAACACGACTCTGTTTTTCGAAAAAAATTAATTGATTTTCTCACCAATCGCGATTTCACCTTTTCACTGGTTTTCACTGCACTTTCCGATATTACAACGGTACCAGTAAGAAATCTGACTGTTAATCGTCGCTTCTCAAGTACCAATTTACTTATTTCATTGCGTGTTGATCACCAGTTGATGTTGATGGTTGGAGGTGGTTCGCTGTCAAAGCGTTCTCGACTCTCTTCGAATAATTTGTACCAATCAAAACCACTCGCTCCCGATAAACAATTATCACCATTTCCAATATTCTGAAAGATTCGGCAATATGCATTTAATTCCGAACACAAAACTTAATGGAACTTATTCGTTGATAATTTCACTCATCGTAAAAATCACCGAATGCACCTTATATACTTCAAAAAGAAAAGTGTATAGTAAACGGTATGTGTAGTAAACGTGTTTCGATATGATATTTGGCGTGACATATGTGCCACAGTCATACCAACCTGCCAAAAATATTGCCGGGATATTGACACTAAAATGAACCTAGTAGAGTCAAATGAAAAACATATCATAGTTTAAGTAGTGTAGACAAAATAAACCAATGAAACGGAGACCTTTATAAAAGGCATTACGGTATTAGACGCTGGTCTACATCAATTTTATTCATAATTAGCGCTATGGCAATTTTATCAATATAACTCCCACACTGAACTTAAATAAATAAAATAACATATGTCGTATATAGAAGCTGGAGCAATTCGCTGACCCTCTTCGTTCGATATTTTGCACATTTTCTGCGTTAAACTGTATTATATCCAGTAATGTATATTACTTAATATTGAAAAGGTATCCTTTTCCCGTATTTCCCAATTATATACTCTAATACAATAGGAGGATTCTCGTGCTCTTGCAAAATTGCACGATGACAGAAAATGCATAACTATCTATGCCGAAATATCTATGGCCCAGAGAGCACGCAGAATCTAGTGATAAAGGAACGAATGCTTCGGTCAATTTATTGAGAATGACTATTGTGCTTAACTATTGGGAATTGGCGCACATTATTTATTCACTCTTAACAAAAAAAATTTCTTTTACCTTTCTTAACAATTTAACGGCATAATATGTCTTTATGTAAAATGACAGCTAAAACAGGGTTGTAAAGAGTGTCATTGCACGAAAATAACCATGAGCTTTGTTCTGACATATTTTACATCCATTAGAAACAATTTTCTGCAATTCGTGCACCGTGCAAGGATTTTGCAAGAGCAAGAGAATACCCCTAATGAAGTTTAAAAATTTTAATATATGGTGAATGAAGAGTACTGATAATTTTCTATTTTTTTTTTTTCATTTTTAACACAAGTATAAATTATTATTAGAAAAAAAGTGTCTCCGAATTACAATAAAATGTGGCATCATTGACCGTTATTTTCGGTAAAAAGACAGCCCTTTTAGTGGGGTCCATGTCTCCGGTTCTGGGGGCATGAACAGTTATAGTCCGATTTCGACAATTTTTAGACTTGAAATGGCAAACCTTTTGACAGGTTTATTCCGATTCGTTGGCTTGCGTTGCTTTTTTATATACTGCGAAGTAACAGAATCTAACGGAATTTAAAATAAATTGTGTTTGTTGTTCTGTTATGTCACCAATTTCATTTTAATATATAATTACCAGACCAGAGTTATGTTGACTGGGGAGAGCGTACTCTGAGCAGCCGGGGTTTTAGCGGTAGGGAGGCAGCCTTGATATTAACTCATAATTTCATCTCGTTTGAACTGCAAATACGATATATACATTCTACTCTACATCCGATTAACGTTGATTAAATGATTGGGTTTGGACAATCCAGTTCAACGTAGAAAAAACAGGACTGTATATAAAAAGCCGAGAGTTGGTTTTTAGAAAATATTTAAGCATGTCGAGAAACCGAAATCAAAACTTAATTTAAGTTCTTGACTAACTAAAGTCGTTATGCGACTGATGTCTGAAGTTGGTGTTATGCCATAATATGTGTGTTTTTAAATTATGAGGGGCACTTACGTTAAAAGCTTGAGAGTCGCGAAAAACCCTTTAAAATTGTGAAATTGGATGTAAATAATGCCTGAGTCAGGTATACTTGTAGAAATTCTCAAAACTTAAATCCTATTCGTAAAAACTTAGAGCCGAAATTGTTTCGAAATATAGAGAATTGTATATTTACTCAAACTTCAGGATAGGGTATATACAAGTTTTAAATACTTTTTTATGTTTTAAACTTCTCCAGGAAATTTCTAATTATTTAGTATCATATAGTATTAGTCATCACACTAAAGTCAAAAAAGCTATGAAACAGCAAACAACTACATTTTTAAGTAATTTCCATTAAATTAATTACATGATAAGGTCAAACAAAAATATATAAATTATTCAGCACTGACTTTCTGTTGTTTCTCTCTATTTTTCATGAACCCTTCGGCGGCCGTGCGGACATTTCGGACTTCTGCTGACATCCAAACACCACGCTGATGTCACGCTGAACGCTTATTTTGTTGCTGTTGTTACTGTTAACAATACTGTCGATATTTCTGGTGCTGACTTTTTTGCTGTTCGGATTTTTGGCATTGCTGATTGCATGTCTGCCTGCAGTTAAACCACGTTGCGATATTGAAAGGCAGGAGATCGATGACCAGGATACACTAATTTGCACAGCATTCGGAAATCCTGTAGAGGTAAGCACACAAACATGCAAAACCTACACACATCTAACTGTACGCAGTGGCTAGCGTATAACCACACATTGGGGTATTTGCGAAATATACTCACTTATAGACATACACACATATGGAAGTCGAGGGCTGGTCGAAGCTCCCCTTCGCACAACGAGAATGCCGCCGAAAGTCTGCATGTGGGTGTATGTGTGCATTACTTTGCAACTTTCAATGTTACCGGAGTGGGTGCTGCATACACCAACAGATCAACAAACACGCCGCACGCCCTAAAGTATGCAATGTATGCGATTTTTTGATTTTGCTTTTGCTTCTTCTGGTTAGCGATGCTGATTGCTGCGTACAAGCGACAGAAAGCAGCTCAATGACTGCCGTAGCTTAGTAGAACTGCGAATAGTTTGAGTTCGAAGCGCTCGGAAATCGGATATGTGTGTGCGCATGAGTGCAGTGATGTGCGCGGCGAAAGTGCTGGCGAAGGAAAACGGCGCGCCTCACACTGTTTGCTGTTACTATGCATATGTATGCTCAAGTGTATGTCGGTGCATGTGTGGGTTTCATGTGGCTTACTGGTTGAATGGTTGTACGCCTGAATAGCTGACCCCAACCTGCCGTCCGCCGCCCACTGCTGTGTGCTTCAACTGCATGTTATTGCAACAGTTGCCTTAGCTGGTATTCAGGTTGTTGTTGTTTATGGGTTTATTGCTGCTGCCAGTACTATTGTTGTTGTAGCAATGGCAATAAAACGGTAGTATTTCAATTGCAGGCACCAACGCACTAACGCGCGTCCGCTACTTCAGAAGCACTCAAAATATATACCAACGGACGGACATTTACATACATAAATACATGAGATGTGCGATTATGCAAGGACGCGTTCGAAGCTTTAAGAACACACATTCATGCATATGATACGGTTTGTTTGTTTGGAGAAAATCGAAAAGTTCAGTCTCCAGTGCTGCCTTCATACCGTACTTTTCTTATACTTCCTGTTGATTGTCTGTACATATGTGTATGTACGTGCACTGGGTCACCAGTTCGCATATATTTAAGTATTGGTATTTTGACATTCTTTCGCATCTGCGGCGTTACTTGGGTCTTCGCACAGAGTAAAAATGCACAGGATGTGTTAACCGGAAAGTGATGTCATATTTATCATTAACGCTTATCAATTTCTGCCTGTGCATTATTGACGTCTAAAAGCTGAAGTGATGCAAGCTCAAGTACTGACGAGTTTACTCTTTGGTCATTCGTGTATAACGGCAAATAATAAAAGCTGTCCAAATATTTGGAAGCCTTTTTAGAAATGTTTTCAAAAGTATACTTTTTGTAATATCCGGTCTTAAATAGTCTCGTCATGTAATTTCGAAAATTCAGTAAACTTTGTTTTTGTTTGATATCCCGAAAATTCATCGGTGTGTTTTGCAGATATTGGTAAGCGGCGTTGCTAACTCAACAGCTATGCGTTCAACATTGTGATACACAAAATCGCCGTCTTAGCAATAGATTTTTGAAAAATGTTATATCCCTTTCATTCCCATCCCATGTCTTCATGCTAACTTAAATATTTTCAAGGTTCTGCAAATATTCGTACAAACTGGTAATATTTTTGAACGCCTTTCTACCCATTTCTGAAACGCGAGGCGCGTATACATTTTACAATATACTATAATATATTTTGATCTTTGTCCATAAGTACATCATCGACATATGAGGAATGAGTCAAAACGGCAACTTAAAAACAGTACACATTTACCATATAAATGTTAAAAGATCAGGTTATCCAAACTCATTATTTGGCTTTTATATCGCAATCGCCAATAAATTTATTTGTCAATAGCTGTTTAAACCAATTCTCCATGCGGTATGCAATGCATTGCTATCAAATATGCTTGTACATACATATACACATATATACTCAACTGTACTTGACATTTTTATGTACGTGTAAGCGTTTAATTGACTTCCTTGTCTGCAAGAAATTGCTTGGATGGTCACATACTCAAATATATAAAATTGCATAAAAATATTTATGTTTTTCGCACGGCTTACTCTTAATCAAACAATCGAGTATTTATAACCAGCGCCACAAAAAGCGGCATGCACAATGCAAATAGTAATAAAAAGCATGGCGATAACAGCGACAAAAACATTTAAATGTAAATATGGCATTGCCCATACTCCCCAACACACCGACACACACACACGCTTGCAAACATCCAATCGCAATTACGGATTTTATTGGTTTATTTGCTTGTTTGCATTTGTATTTGTATTTATCATTATTATCATTGTTGTTGCACATTTTTGTCGTTGCAGGCTGATTTTTCATGGTCAATTAAAGCGGAAAATGACAGCGCCGAATGGCTGGGCAGCGGCGAGCGGCAGGGCTTTACGGACAAGAGTTTTTATGTGCTGGACGATGACTATGTGATCGCTCGCACTTACCGTTGCGTTGCCAATAACACAGTCGGCCCCGGGTCATTCTGCGAAATCGAAGTGGCCGGTAAGTAACGGTGTTCACTCGTACATCAATTTTGTATATAAAGTATGTACTATATGCTATCGTGACCACTTAATATATGGAATTCAGAATTTTGTGTGGGCATACAGCAATTATGTTTCCGGCATGGGAACATAAACAAAAGTCGCATTAAGTAAACTTTCAGCTGTTTGCAAAAATTAGACGTGCGAAACTTATGGTGAACTCATACGTGAGGGTCGATATTTTCAAAAAATATTCAATTGAAGTAGATTTAGCATTTCCTTCACAGTTTATTCACTTCTCTTGTGGACAAATTGTACTAAACTTTTTAAATCATGACTATGAGCTAACATGTTTTAACAAGTTAAAAGTATTAAGGATCACCGTTGCTATAATCAGTTCCCTCCGTGTTTTTTACTTCTTCTTCTTGATTGGCGTAGACACCGCTTACGCGATTATAGCCGAGTTAACAACAGCGCGCCAGTCGTTTCTTCTTTTCGCTACGTGGCGCCAATT